AAAAAAAAAAAAAAAAAAAAAAAAATCCCTTTTTTGGTATAAAGAACAACATACATAAGTTTAAAATGCAGCTTAGGTGTTCCAGTTTCACTCTGTGGTGTGGAAAGTCTCACAGATGTTGTCCTTCACTTGACTGTCTGGAATCTTTCTCCTGGCCAATCGTCCATGTTGATTTCGATGAAAAGCAGGTACGAATTGTTATTCATATTACAAAACCACTACACTCAGTCTAGAAGTCTGTCCCACACTTAGTTTGTCTTCCATTTATGCCTTTAGATTCACAGTAGTGGAAATATTGTCTATAAACTGTTACATGCCAAATAAATTTTACAATGTAAATAACACTACATGGATCAAAGGAATTAACATTAAAATAGATCTTTTATTAAAAAAAAACTTTCAAAAAGACAATTGCCTGCTCCTCAAAGTAATATATTTCAAACTTGCATTTGGCAAAAAATTAATCTCTAAGAAATTTCAAGTTTAATTTTTGAGTTGTATTCTAAAGCGGCTTATCCATCCCCTTCAAAAGCATTTATTGAACACATCTGTGTAGCAGACATATGGTATGGGCTGACCTTCAAAATTTCAGAGTAAATAAATCCTTGTTTAAAACTACGTGGCTAAAGCAAAATATCTTTATCTAATTTATTTACTTTTAAAATAATAAATGTGTTTAGTGATACAACTTGAATGAATCCATAATTATTATTATGACAGAGCAATGGAACAGGAAGTCTTGTTCATCCAGCGTTCTCAGTTTGCCCAACTGTATGTAAATACATTAAGGGAGGCAGCATCAGAGAATTTTGGATTATGGGAGATGCCATTTGTACAATTTATTTTAAAAACCTGGACGGGGCATTCTTTTCTGCATTACGGGACGTTTGCTTTGCTACTCACTTCCTCTGAGAGCTGTTGGGATTGGACCCTGAGCTTGTACTTCTGGCACCTGCGTCTGCACATGGCAAATCCTCGTGTGTGCTGGAGTCTCTGCGGCGCATTCTCACAGGACATCTCTCTAGGAAATGTGTGCAGGTCCTGGTGACTACTGAGGTTCTGACACAGTTTAAGGTCTGACTCCATCATTTCCTGTTTTCTCTTACAAGACACGTCTCAGAACCTCCCTGAACATCTGACCCTGAAAATTTACATTGTGCTCTAAACATGCACTCAGAATTTACAACACAGATACTCACGGAGCACTTCCGTCTTCCAAGGAGCATTCTCAGTACACATTATTGTGATGAAGTCAGCCCTCCCGCCGTCACAGAATCTACACACCAGCGGGGCATAGGACTGTAGTAAGTACTGAAGGTACAAATCATGCCAAAATGACAAGGCGGGTAAAGACATGGTATTTTAGAGAGGCAGGCAGGGCGAGCCTCTTCAAGGAGATGATATGTAAACAGAGGCAGGAAATAAGCCTCATCAACACCTGAAGAATATTTCAGGCTGAGGGCAAAGCAGGTGCCACTGCCCTGGAGCAAGAACTTGCTTGTACAGCAGAGGTAAAGGATGCATGTTGTTAATTACGTAGAAGGGCAAGAAAAATGTGTCAGTAAATGGAAGGGGGGCCAGGGACAGGAATCATATAACATGACAAGGTCCTGGGATTTTATTATAAATATGGGGACATGGTTAGAATCGAGCAAGGAAATAAAACAATCTAAGTCTCTTAAAAAGACTTTTTTGGACCAGGAATAGAAGGTGCTGAGAAGTATTTGGCCAGGATATAGTTAAGGGTATGTTGTGAAGGCAGAACTGACAAGATCTGCTGGTGGACTGGTGTTGTGACGAAAACATGAGAGATCAGGGATGACTACATATCTTTACCTGAGCTATAAACTAAGTGATGTTGTGTTTCACAAGATGGTGAATGATAGGTTAAGAGGCCATTTGGGAATCAAATTATGTTTGCTTTTGCTATGTCAGGCGGAGATGTTTATCACACATTTAGGTGAAATAGCAGGATTTTCTACAAGGCGGGAATTGAAGGAAGAGGTTCAATTGAAACATGAATCTCAGAGTAATTCAATGATAAATAACATTAAGAACCCTTAGTCTGTGTGAAACCTACAAGAACAGGGTGTAACTGAACAACAGGATATTGAAGGTAGAGATGCCTTTCATTTCAATATGGAGACATCAGAACCCAGGAGTGTATTCCAAGGAATGCCCAGTGAGGTGGACAGAAAGATAGGGTGGAGTGGTGTCCTGGAAACAAAGTAAAGAAGGTGTTTCAAAAACAAGGGAGTAGAAAACTGGCAAATGCTACTGAGATGCTGAGGAGGAGAGGCAGTTAAGTTTGATTTTGTAAAAATCGCTGCAGACCTATATAACAGTGGACAGAACTG